ATGTGGGGTTAAGGAGTGACACTCACTCCTTTTTTTTATGAAACCACAAGTAGGCCAAAGTCTCCAGATGCCGAAGTGATTGAAAGAACAAGTAGGCCAGACCACCAAAAGCCAGAGTGAAGTGCAACAAAGAACAAGTAGGCCAGACCCCCAAACGCCAGAGTGAAGTGTTTTCCAAGCACAGGCAGCAACAACGCTGAACATCTGCCATGAAACTTTTTTGGGGGGAATAAGATTCAGAGCCCCGCCAAGGATTTGTAATCATTTTTTGAAAGCATGGAAGAAGATAATTTTCAGCAGATGTAGGGTTATTATGACTCTATGTTGGAAGATTGTCCATATTATTATCCAATAAGGAGAAGATTAAGCGGCACCCCGCCAAAGATCTCTAATCACCTTTCGGCCCGGTGGAAGAAGATAATTTTCAAGGAGATGCAGGATTCCATCATAGAAGATTATCACTATTTATCATATTAATATTAAGAGGGTCTGAGATGCTCATGGTTCAGGGTCGGATATGCTAAAATGAGCATGTCAGACCCTAGCCACGTGGGCTTCCAGGGGTCACCATCCCGGACCCTGAACAAAACGAGGGTATAAAAATGGTGTTTGAAGGCAAGCCAGACACTGCCCTCTTTCTTCTTATTGGCGATGGGCTCCTGCTCCCCCTCCTGCTTCTGCAAGGTCTGGAGTAAAGGCCGTGAGCCATATCTACTATAGTCCAAACTCCTTAAAGAGGGTTATATACGGGAATATATGGGAGATATTATTATACGGGATATGAAGGGGGATGCTAGGAGTTTAGACTATAGCTCAGAACAAATCAAGGCTCAGGGTTGAGCTGAAGTTAGTATAGTTTTCGCCTATATGAGTGCCGGTCAAACCTCTTGCATGCCTCATGAAGACGTGCACATCCTCTCTAATCTCACCCCTAAATTAAGGCCTCTATAGATGCCAACGCATCGGCTGCTGTAAGTCCCCCTCAGTCATCAACTTTCAAAGCCCGGAGGGTCTGGACGCAATAGGGGCTGTTGAGGAGTTAGTCTTACTTAGTCTCACTTTATGAGGTTTCGTGCTCGCGCTGCGCTTCTGTCTTGTCCTAACAGATCGATTCTCACAGATTCTGTGGGAGGTGCCTGCGATTCTATGCAGATTACGCACTTTGTATGTTGGGCATAGGGCAGTTTCAAAAATTAGGGTCTGGTTTTTTAACCCAAGGCACCGGCTGCCGTACCATTGCCAAGAAGCACTAAATGTTGACGAGCGCCCCTGCATTTTGATTAGCACCCTGCCGCTACTTGTTGGCATTGAGCATTCACTTCATGAACGTGCATGTAAGTGCGAGTTTCCCAACATAAGGGGACCCCGCCAATGTAGACCCAATATACTATAATCCTTATCGTGGGGACCCCAAAAAAGTACCCCTAATTTTAGGAGACCCCCAAGTTTGAGTTTGATAAAGATCCCGTCCTCCTCTTCCTCATCCTCGTCCTCCTCTTCCAGCTCATGCCTCATCTGCCAGGCTGGCGTCTTCGCAACAGCTTCCCTGTAAAAGTCGGGGTCTTTCCAAACAGCTCGCAATGTTACCTGGTCTGAAGCCACCATCTCTGAAAGGACCAAGATATGAGTGCCTCGAGATGTCTCCGGAAAAAAAGTTCTGACACTCTGCCAGGGATTTGCACGCGGCGATGTCAATCCAAGCAATACTTCCTGCCAACGCGTAAAGTCACGGCTTTTCCCAAACATCCGGCTTCTAGAGTACAAAGTTAAGGTCCAATCTGGGCGCACGCCGCATGGAAGCTTCCTGGTCTTCTTGCTACGTGTGTTGTATCGAGTCACCAAGCCGGCACGCTGCCACTGCTTCAGCGCACAGTCTGTAAGTCTTCTGACCTCAGCAGTGAGAAAGTCTGGCTTCCACCAGATCATAGAAATCTCGAAAGGCGAGAGCAGAAGGCACCTCGCAACAGAGCGACACGCATCGCCGCAACTTTGAGTCTTGTAAGCTTGGACCGGCTCGGAGCGGAAGGTGCTCACCAGACGCTGTTTCTTTGCATCCGCCAGAATACTCCGAACGCGGTTCCGGCAGTACTCCTCCGAGAAGTTTGTGAGCCGCGCCAGCATGGGCCAAGCGGCAGCAATGCTGGAGGCTTTCGGGCCAACAGGGCACTGTGACACAGGCAAGCCGAGGGCACGTTGTTGTAAGGGAAGCATGGATTCGGCTGTGACCAACAGCTGCAACCACGCGGAGTCCTCCATCTCGTCGCGAGGCTCTTCTTTGACTTCCTCAAGGTCCCCCATGTCGAGCTCGATTTTGCTGGCTTTGCTCTTCAATCGTTTCACCCGTGGGATCTTGCGTGCCTTCGCTGTCTTCAACCTTTTTGCATAAAAGTCTGGCTCACAATAGAGGCTCTTGTCGTCTGGTAGCGCCTGTTTATGACACCTGAGGTAATGGTCCCTCACAGCAGGCTTCATGAAGGTGACATGTCCGCAGATGTGGCACCTGAAGCGCACAGCAGACAATGATGAGAAATCCACTTTAGCCCCCGACGGATGAGGACCAGCCACCTCCTGGAGCTGACGACAGTACTTGATCACCCGGTCAGGTGGCACCATGATGCGACTGCTGAGGGCGGCTACTTCTGGTGATTTCAGCGTCACCATTCGCGTATCCCGTGCAACAAGTGAGCATTCCGCTGTCTTCTCGTTTTTGCGCGCGTGGTTCAAACAAATATCGGTGAAAAACTCGTTGAGCGCAGCTCGTTGATGAGGTGCCAGCCACGGATGACTGTTCCAATTCTTGCGCTGAAAGAGCTCAGGAAAGGAAGCATTTTTCGGAGTGGGGACAGTTGGCTCCGGTCTTTCATCCTCCTCCATGCCTGATACGCTTCCGTCATCTTCGGCACCTGCTGGTTGCTCATCCGATTTGTCGTACCTGTCGCACCACTCCTTCGCGAGGACGCGAAGCCTCTCCCAGTATAAATCCACTGCACCAGGCTCTGCAAAGTCAAAGCTTGCAAGTGGCTTGGGCTGGTCTGCATCCAAGCTGCCCTTGAAGCTGTCCAAGTAAGCGTACCTATTCACCGTGTAGACCAAGTGCAGGGTATCCCCTGTCGAGCTGAAAGTTTGCCCATCTGCCACACTCACCAGCTTCATCTTCACCAGGTTGCCCATGACCTTGCGGATGGTCTTTGTTATCCTTGATGCCCCTGCACCTGTGGTGGGCAAGAGCTGCTTGTGTACAGCGGCTGGCACCTTTCACGTCTTGGGGCTGAAGTCACAAAGTCTTACCCAAGTGATCCTTTCTGCTTCCCTGTGCTTCACTTACTCTCCCTTGAAGAAACGAGGAAAAACTCAGCCATCCCTTCTAGTGTGTCGTGAACCTTAATGAAAACAGGGAAAAGGTGTGCTCAACAAGTTGGCCCTGACCTGGCTGACAAGCAGATTCGAGCCAGTGGCCAACAGGTCGTCGAGCTCCGGATTGTAAATGCCACACCCGACAACCTGAAGGAAAATGTCCAAGTCCATCTCATCCACGATTCTCCTTAAAACTTCCGACTTGCTAGGGTGTGCATAATTTTCCCCGGCCTCACATGCGTGTGAGAGTAAATCCAAGGAAATTGTGGAAGTTTCCATGGATAGGGTGACCCAATATAGACCCCCAAAAGGTAGGAACCCCTAATGTTGAAAACCCGCATGGCTTAACAACTGTCATGTTGCGACGGCGTCCACTGCACATCGGGCTCGACGGCTTGCTTGCGCAAAAGCCTGAGTTGCTGATCAGGAACTTAAATCAAAGTACTAGAATACGGAAACCCGATGATTCACTTTATACCCATAATTGAAATACCCTATTACTTATTATGCACCCACAGTACCGTAACTTAGTTTAAGCTCCTTATCAGCAACCCAGAAGCATCCTATGCAGCAATTGGATTCGGCAGACAAGCGAGCTGTTGAAGCCATAGTGTTGCTTCACCTGTTACTGGCTCTAAGTTGGGAATGTACCCCCTATATACTCCGTATATGATACATTCCCGTATTCCCTGCTAAGAAGCAGTAAGTCATTTCCGTCAAGGTTGCAGCTGTACATGTGCCAACATTAGCCATCCTTTATGCCAGAGACCTCAAGCAGTAGAGTGAGGAGCCCACCTTCTTGGCCAAAGTCCATGGCACTTCTCCGAAAGCTCCTAATCTCTCTCGCAGGCCCAGACGCTCCGCCACGATGTCCTCAGACAGCACCCTACGGCCCAGAGGTTTCCAAGTTGGAGCTGCCGGTCCCTGGTACCGACATGGTGAATGTTGATTCATCGGTGCCACTGCCACTGGCAAAGGCGAATTTGGCTCTTCGTTTTGGACCTGCTGGGTCTTCTGGTAGCGAATCTCCTTGCGAAGCTCTGAATTCTGCTTCGCTCCCTTCCGTGCTGAACTTTGCGTGTGAGTGGGCTTCCAGAATGCGAACTCGATGCAGTTTGAGTGGGACATGGAAAGGCCCACGCGCTTTTCAGTCGAGGCGAGGGCTTTCAGGATCTTGTTTGATGTCTTGAGATCCATGCATCCCAACACATTATCCTGCATTCCAGCTTTTCTCAAGTCAAAGGTCGTCAGCACTCCTATCTGCTCTAACAGCTGGCTTGCGCGCTGCACCCGTCGAACAAATGTGACGTCAATGCGTCCAGTAGATCCCGTCTTAAGGGCTTTGTTGCTGCGCCCATCGTTTGCTCTCAGAGCATGTTTCTTGCTTGCATCTGGGATGTTGCACATGACAGCGCAGGCTTCGGGAGAGTCGAAATAACGGTTTGCATGGACCTTCCCGTTGCTCTCGAACACTGGGACCACTCTTTTCTTCTTCACAAGTATCTTCAGAATATGCTCCGCTGGCTTCCAACGCACCCCCAGCATGCTGCATACTTCTGGCCGAGTGACCCCGCAGCCAAGTCTGCTGCAACACCGAATCAAGTCCAGGGCTTGGAGAGCCACAGGCCTCTCCGATGATCGAAAAGAAGCTGTGGTTGGGGGCACTTGCACAATCGACTCGGGAAGTGGGTGGTCCGCTATTGTGCCCAAACCCTCATCCTGCAAATCCGGTGTCTGTGCCACTTCTCCAAGCTGCTCTGTGGCTGTGATGTCCCTGATTGCCAGATTTGGCTGAACAGGCTCGGTTGGTCTGGCATGGCCTGGAAGGCAGAGGGCATCCCTGAACCTTCTGCTGCGTGCGTCCCATGCACGCACACATTCTACCTTGCCAATGGCTACCATGTCAGATCGCAAACGTTGGTAGACATCGCCTACTGCTCGCCGCGTGATGTCAGGTTTCAATCCTGATTCCTCCAGCGCTCGGGTCAAAACAGTCCTCAAGCTACACTCAAATGCAACTTTCGAGTCAGTGGAAGCCAACGTGGAGGATATCTTGTTCTGCAAGGCCCCACCTGAAGTCTTCAGCAAGATTTGCACCTCATGGTGCTCGACGGACGCTGGATCAAAAAAACGCGAGAAATAAAACAGATTCACGTGTGAATCCGAAGCAGATGCCTTCGACCGTATTGTCAGAACTGCAACCAACAGACCTGCTGCGCGCAAAGTCTCCAGCGGCCACGTCAAATTGCCTGCGGCCATTTTCAACTTCACTGCCAACATTGAGGCTTGGCAACCTTTCCAACGCCCCTGGGCTACAAGTTGTAGACATTGTCTTGTGAGCTCATGTTGGGCAATATCGGGATGAGCATCCAATCTTAGGCAATGCCATCTCATAGTGTCAGGCACACTCAACACCACTTTCCCTTTGTTGCGATGGCTTCGTGAGCGACGGCACTGGCCATCATCAGAATCCTCCGTGTCTGCATTCTGTGGTGGCCCATCAGTTGTACGGCCATGGACGATGATTGGGGTTTTATTGTTGCGAATCTCCTTCCACAGTGCTGCTTTGAGGTGCTGGTCCATCTGAAGTCCAGCCGCTTGAAGCCGGTACAGAAGCTTCGGCCACGAAATTCCAGGAGGTCCATCCCAAGAGATCTCTTCCACGGATGTTTTGATCAAGGCGGCCAACATTGCAGCAGAATGCCAAGGCAGTCAAGAAACGGCTGTAAGTTTACCGGTCCCCCTGCAGAGGCATGGTTAAAGGAGCCTGTATTTCATGTGCACACATCAAACTTGGTAGGTTCATGAGCCCCAAACAGCCGCCCTGGTCAACAAACCACGAAATGCTCCAAGCAGCATATGGACCTGCATTCTTGGGCTGAAATCAGGGCATCGGGGTTGGAGGAGAATTATGGGGATCGCCCTTGAGGACCCTACAGGGACTACATTAACAAATTCCTATGTGAGCTACAATCAATATTTCCTCATAGCTTAAGGGACATGAGTTCCTTCTTAGTGACTATATTAGGGACTATACTAAACCACAAGAGGGACCCGTACATCCACTGTTAAGGGTCGTTTACTAAGGCTAATATGTAAAGAAGGGTTTGCAAGAATGTGTCAGGGACGCATGATGGACAGGGATATTGGCCATCATGACGCTGAGAATGCGGCGTGGCAATGTGCACAATGGACTGCTTGGTCATTTTGGCACAGAGCATTGCCATGCTCCGACCTCCAGGCAGATAAACCCTAAGCCCCAAAACCTCTAAACCCCAAACTCCCCAAAAAAGGCACGTCTAGAAGCAAATGGAAAGAACACGGAAAATTCAAATGGAAACTGGGGTTACATAGTGTTTATAGGGATTTGGGCTTCCCAGAATTAGGGGTACCATTGAGTCCCCAGAAGAAGGGCTGTTGTATATTGGGGTCTGTATTGGGTTCCCTAGTTATGCCATGTGAGACAAACCCAACTGCCTCCAGGTTCATACATACCTGTACATATTAGGTGGACCCCCCACCCAGTAATACTGACTATTATGGATAATAAGGAATATATTAGGGTCCTCTTATATTCCTAGTATATCACTATTACAGGGTGGGGGGTCCTCCTAACATACATACATGCATACATCCACAAGCCACGAATCTGAAAAAATCCACCAATGTCCCTACTCACAACCTCCAGCACCGGAATCGGCATGCCACGTGCGAGGCTGGCATTCCATCCGAGCGAACACAAGTCTTGCTTGTGCTTACTCATGCTGAGTTAAATGGCGGAGGGGATCCCAAAATTAGCCCATACAACATACTCCACTCCCTAATCCCCACCAATGCATAGACGAGTATGCCTGTTGTGCAAACTTCCAAACCGCGGCCCTAAACCCCCTGTCTTTGACATACACTGTCAGAACCGTAGTCGGGAGCCCCATAATCCCTCTGTATGTGCTTGGGGTCCCAAGGTACCCTCATTTTTTGGAAGCTCCAATGCGGAGGAAGCCATGAATCTGATGGGAGTTTCCATAATAGGGGGACCCCTATGTAGACCCCAAAGGACTATAGGCTTCTTATCCCTGAACCCCTAAACGTCAAACCCCCAACCCCAAACCCCAAACCCGAGACCCTAAGCCCCTACTGTCCCAGCTTCAGCTAGGCCACGCTCGTCCTGCGCCGCATTGCCTGCCAAGCCCAGAGACTGCCTCCGTTGGGTTTAGGGTTTAGGGGTTTAGGGTTTAGGGGATTTAGGGTTTAGGGTCTAAAGTTTCGGGTTTGGGGTTGAAGGTTCAGGGTCCAGGGTTTGGGGCTTAGGATTTACGGGTTTAAGGTTTGGGGTTTAGGGGGCGCAGATTCAGGGAGTTCCTCCAAACAGGAGGCCCTGGGGACCCCAAGGGATTTCATGGGGACAGGGGGGATTATGAAACTTCCAGTTTTCAGGGAGGAGAATGAAAAGCAAAACTACTGTGTTGGCTTTACGGTTTGGGAGTTCGGCTGTAGCTTACAGAGAAGATATGAACAAGATAATGGAACTATTATCTGTTCTTACTACTTAAGGTTTAGGTTTGAGGGGTCAAGCGCAGCGAGCATAATGGAAATGAAGCTGAAAAATGTTCTGTACTAGGCGGAGGATGGAGGAGAGGAGCAGGAGCACGATGGAAAAGAAATGGACCCTGCTATGTAGAAGCAGGATGATGGAAAAGAAACTGAAAACCACCATGTATCATGTTGGAAAGGAGCATGGCAGTTCCATATCATACATTGAAAGAAAATGACGACTACTGTGTAATACGGTAATATAGTGAAAGACAAAACCAGAGACAGCGCTATAGTGTAAATCGTACTCGACTTCTTTATGAAACTCAACTGAAAATGCAAATTGCGTAGGATTGCACACATACCTCAACAAAATTTGTGGAGTTGGCAAGATTGCAGGCTTCATGGGATGTAACTGTCCGGTACACAAGAAATTCAGAACCTGCAAATTTGTGTACTTTTTCAAACAAACCACGATTTGGGGTGAGGTCGGGTGAGGTCGCCATACGTTGCCCAGGATTTATGGGGACATTCTTAAACCCCCACAACTGAAATTCCTGACATGACAGCAGACGAAAGCCGGGCCACCCCCGCTTAACTGGGTTGCTGTTACGGAACCGAAATTAAGGCACCATTAAAAGGAAGCTGCATTATTTGCCATGTATCCATATCATGGTAACTTTTAAGGTATTTTAAGCTCCTCAGCAGCAACCCAGTATTAAGGGCTTGCGCTTTTTAGGAATAAAGCAATTCATCATGCTTAGGGGTGCCAATCTACATCTAGCTGCATGGTCAGACTGAGCCACAGCGAGGGTTTAGGGTTTAGTGCAACTGCAGCACAAACTTCTACAATATGGAAGACCTGCCCATACACAGCTCCCAACATAAAATTTGATGGATGAACGTCCTCATCACATCAGATCCGAAGGCAATCGTAGTTTCCATAAGCAGGCAAACCCCAATATCCACCCCAAAATACTATAATCATGAATGAATATCGTGGGCCCCGATAAGGTACCCCTAAGTTTGGGAAACCTTCATCCCTATAAACCCTATATAGGCCCGGTTTCCATTTAATTGTCCATTTTCTTTTCTACTTGATTCTCCATTACTTGGGGTAACGCCCCTTTATAATTCCTGATTTGTTCTCCGGTTCCTGGGAGCTCTGTCGAGTTGCGGGTCCCGCCGCGTCAACTGGCGAACCAACGCCAGCAGAAGCAACGAGCCGTATGCTGCTTCCTGCGGTTTAGGTTTAGGGTTTAAGGTTAAGGGCTTACTGGTGGTCAGAACGTAATTTACTGGTTCTTAAGTGATATAGGGACAATTAATTAAAATTAGAGGGGTATATGTGGGCATTAGACAGGGATTGTTATGATGCGTCCTGAACTTACTGGTGGTCAGAAGGTAACTTACTGGTGCTTGAGGGGGACGGAGAGGTGAATATGGGAACCATCATAGGGGTATCTGCGGGGATTCTACAAGGATTACTATGGGGATCCTCTGCCCCCCTCTCGCGTAAGCACCAATAAGTTAATGGTGGTCAGAAGATAATAGAGGACTAGACCCAGGTAGCAGTCCCGATATAATGCTGGACCTGTTTTGGTGTGGTGGTCCTCCTTAATGTGTGCGTCGTCACATGCTGAAGGAGTTGTAGGCCAATGTTTGAAGGTCCTCTTTGATGTGCTTCGGTTTTGGGGCCCGAGAACAGAACCGTTGAAGCCGTATTAAGAACGCCTGTTTGGAGGGCCCCAGAGCTTCAACTACGTCCAACAGTACTCCCTGATGATGGTGCCCATGTTCCCTTCAGTGAAGCTGGCAGACGTTCAGCGAGGCTGCACGCACATCGTGAACAAAAAGAGGGTCTGACTTATGCCCATTTTGGGGAAAGGTATTCTGAACAACTACCATATGCAAAACCGTCATCTGACACAACCTGGACTGGAAGCCACGTACTCATTAGTGGCCTTGCGGATTCTACCGAAATCCCCAAAAACGTAGGTCTTCCCAGAACCTAAAGACTATGCTCCTCATGCACCTCTATTCCAAGCCACCCCAATACCCTACTCAAATGAGAGCGCCTCTAGTACTTACTGGTTGTTAGTCGAGAACAAGGGGATATAATCCCCATATCATCCCCCCCTAACGTAGTCCCTTATTCCCTACTAACGCCCATTAAGAATATCCTTTGGAGGAGCCAATTTTTGCACTCCCGGATGCCTCGATCTGAGCCAGGAAGTAACCAGGCCGCGCGAGCACAGACTGCAGGGCCTGGCACAGCAGACCCCAGGGGCGAAGGTCGTTAACCCTAAATAGTAGCTTCCATTTTCTTTTCCATTATCCCTATATAACCCCAATATACTGCAGTAGCTTCCATTTTCTTTTCCGTTATCCCTATATAACCCCAATATACAGCAGTAGCTTCCATTTTCTTTTCCGCTATCCCTATATAACCCCAATATACTATAGTGGTTTCCATTTTCTTTTCCATTATCCCAACATTTAAATGGTCCTGTAACCTGGATTACCCTTTAAAGGAGGTAAATGTGAGAGATACAGAGGGGTTTGTACAATGGGAAAGAAAATGGGAACCACTTAATCATTTAGGGTTTAGGTTTGCCTGTCACCTTCATTGCCCACAGTTTTATGAGTTTACCTACTATTGAAGGGGGAATCAATACTGAACTTAAGTAATTGGGGTTAAAGGAAGGGTGTAGGAGTGCTCGCTTGGCTCTACCCCAAACCCTAAACCCTATATCTTAGGAGGATCCCCCACCCTGTAATACTGGGATAAAAGGAATATAAGAGGACCCTAATATAGTCCTTATTGTCCCTTTAAGCCACTATTACAGGGTGGGGGGTCCTCCTAACCTATATTGTTGTCATGTCCTGCCGGGCCTGGCAGAAGAAGCCAATGCTTTGCGGCCACTTCTTGGTGGCAGCCAGTAGCTTTTGAAGCTCGACCTCTCGTCCAGAACCTCATTTGCAAGGTGTAATATAGGGTTAATGTAAGGTTAGTATATGGCTAATATAGGGTTGAAATAGGGTTATATAGGGTCACATAGGGTTATATAGGCTGCTGTAATTTGGGTTTTAGCCCATCTCCTGAAGGAGGATTCTGGCATGCTTCTTTTGGACTATATGTGAGTAGCGTAGGCCTTGTA